GTTACTTCTTCCCTATCCAGGCAACTATAGAGCAAAGAGAACTTTCATTTTATTTTCTTTAACACAGACTTGTATATCTCAGGAATCTGGTGTGAGGAGGGACACTTAACCTGCTGCTACAACTCACTCCATCACCACTGAATGTGAGATCTGATCCCAGGACAGTTCATTTAACATGTAGCCCCTGTGAGTGAGAAGGGAGTACCTACTGCTAACTCGAGCCAAGAGCATTTTTACATTGTGCCTGAGACCCAATGGGAAGAACATGAGGAGAAATTGTGTGTGACCAGGTTTGGATATCACTTGCAAGAACCAAAGTAGTTTTAAATTTTTCAGTTTTGTTATTGTTCAAAATATGAACAAGGAGAGAGAAAGGACATTTTACAAGAGAAGATTTCCTATCAGGTTAGACAAGGAAAGCTCCCACCAAAATGCATTCTGGGTCAGGTTCAATATATAAGCTAGGGCAGGGAATTAATGTTTACTTTGTCGGATGAAGAGCTGTATAGATTTTGTGTTGGCCTTCTGCATAATGTGAATTTCACAGATTAGTGTAGAAGAAACTCCTAAACTTGAGCCGGGCACTAAACTTCAGATTTTAACAAAACTTCTAAGCAGCCCTGAACAAAATTTTGAGAATTTCCCTTGCTTAGACTCCTAAAGAAGAAATGTGATATTCTGTATAATTTTCAGATGGTAATGTTTGTTTTTCAAAATAAATGCACATGCGCATACACAGAAGCAGAATTTGGTTTACCTTAGTTCTGTGTATTTTTGCAAAGGCCATGATTATCTCCAGTAAATATGACACCCAGCTCCCTTGACTTTGCCCCCCTTAAAGGGAGCAACTGTGTAACTTCCAATACAGTTGCCTAGAGCTATACTTGTTGTAAGATATTTGTCCATATGACAGCTTTAACCTGCTTCCCAGAATGAATGTTTTGCATATACAGGGGATGCAGAGACAACCAAGCAGTTCTTTTTCTGGCCACTGGGCTGATGTTGTGGAAAATTGATTTCCAGTTGGATTCTCTCGCTTCCTCTGCTCTTATATTTTGATTTCAGAATATTAGCCCATGATTGAAGGTAAGCATAAATAGAAGCAAAGGAAGTAAGGCATGGAGGTGAAAAGGCAGGTGGTAGGAGCTGAAATAGAAACAGCGAGAGACAGACAACCATACACATACAGTTATACAAGCAGGTATGTCTGGGTATAGTCCACAATCTCAGGATCTTGCTACATAAAACAAGAACAAAATTCAGTGTCGTGGTTTAACCCCAGCTGGCAACTAAGCACCACACAGCCGCTCGCTCACTCCTCCCACAGCAGGATGGGGGAGAGTATCGGAAGGGTAAAAGTGAGAAAACTTGTGGGTTGTGGGGTTGTGATAAAGACAGTTTAATAAGTAAAGCAAAAGCCACGCGCACAAGCAAAGCAAAACAAGGAATGCATTCACTACTTCCCACACTGTTTCCAGCACAAATCCAAAACACAGCCCCATACCAGCTACTATGAAGAAAATTAACTCTACCCCAGCCAAAACCAGCACATTCTCCACCCCTTAATCCATACCATTTACGTCATGCTCAAGTCTCACACTATCTAATACACCCTCATTAACCACCACCACCCCTTCCCATCCTTTGATACAATACACAGATATCATTCCCTTAGTCTATGGACCACTCCTGTGAAATGTCTTTAAAATGTCCACAAATGTCCATTGAGTTCATTTAGTCCATGACTTTGGGCTCCATCTGTGATGGTGGTCACTCAGGACAGGAGAGGTCGAGTGTTGCATGGAGTTATTGGGCATCAAAGCCAGCTCAGGTCGGGTCACTGCTGCACTTGCACTGCTTCTTGTAAGGCTTGTCCTCCATTGGTTCAGGTGGTTCCTGCTATAGTAATTCCTATAACATGCAACTCAAATCATGGGTTACAACAATTTAAAGGTA